CCCAGTCCCTCCCAGTATAAACCAATGACCCCGAATTCCCCCTTAACCCATTCCCAGTACAAACCAGTGACCCCAAACCCCCCTTCACCCCTCCCCCAGCCCCTCCCAGTATACACCAGTGCTCCCAGTACCGCGGGTCCTCCTCGGGCTGGTTCCCGGCCAGCAGCGACATCACGGTGGATTTCCCGGTGCCCTGCAGCCCCAGCGCTCCCACCACCAGCACGTCCGTCTGCTCCAGCAGGAACTGGGAGCCACTGGGAGTTACTGGGAGCCTCCAGGCCCCGCCCCCCGGCCCTGGCCCCGCCCCCCCGCGCTCGGCCCCGCCCCCACCTCCAGGGCGCTGTCGCACCAGTTCATCTGCTCGTCCACCAGTTTGATACTGGTTTTCATCTTCTCGGGCGCCGCCAGCCGGGCCTGGGCCTGCGCGGCTGGGGGAGGGGCCAGGGGGGGACACGCCCACTTTGGGACACGCCCACACACAGAAAACCCCACCCCCTGCATTAATCATGCAAAACCACGCCCATTTTGTCCGCCCAATCAGGACTCTCAATCTTTAACCCCGCCCATATGTGACCACACCCTCAATGACCACACCCAATCATGGCCACGCCCCCATCTCAAACCCCACCCCTTTCCCCAGCCAATCCCCTTTAGCCCCGCCCACAGTGACCACACCCTCAATGACCACACCCAATCGTGGCCACGCCCCCAGCTCAAACCCCACCCCCTTTCTCAGCCAATCCCCTTTAGCCCCGCCCATAAATGGTGACCACACCCTCAATGGCCACACCCACACAGGCCACGCCCTCAAACCACGCCCTCCTCCTCCAACCAATCAGCTCGACTCCCACACTTTAGCCCCGCCCACAGCGACCACACCCATTTATAACCACGCCCACAAATGCACTGGCCACACCCTCCTCAAACCACGCCCTCCTGCTCCAACCAATCAGCTCGACTCTCACACTTTAGCCCCGCCCACTGTGCCCACCGCCCATTTAAGCCCCGCCCACGCCCTCCAAGCCCCGCCCACTCACGGTCCAGCGCGGCGGGCGGGGCCAATCCGCGGCTGTGCAGTTGATAGACAGGTTGGGTGGGGCGTGGCCCCTCCCTCTCGGTGGGCGGGGCCTGCTGAGGCCCCTCCCCCGGGGCGGCCGAGGCCCCGCCCCCTCCCCGCCCGTCCTCCCCCCGCGCTTTCATCAGCACGATGGGCGGGGCCGGCGCGGGAGGGGGCGGGGCTTGTGCCGGCCCCGCCTTCGGGGCGGCGGGGGGCGGCTGCTGATTAAATATGCAAATGATGTCATGGGGATGGCCACACCCACTTTTAGGAGAGGCCACGCCCCCCCAGCTCACCCGCTCGGCCGGGGGCTTGGCCAGGATGATGGGGGTCTTCTGCAGGGGCCCCGCTGGCTCCTCCCCCTGCTCCTGCGGGTGGGCGGGGTCAGTGAGGACACGCCCACAATGCCCACACCCAGCCACGCCCCACAGGTATTGCGTCACCCCCTTCCAGGGCTCTCATTGGTCACCCAAAGCTCCGCCCTCACCCCATTAACCCACTGTCAATCACTCCCAAGCCCCGCCCTCACTCCATTAACCCACTGTCAATCACCCAAAGTCCCGCCCTCACCCCATTAACCCACTGTCAATCACTCCCAAGCCCCGCCCTCACCCCATTAACCCACTGTCAATCACCCAAAGCTCCGCCCTCACCCCATTAACCCACTGTCAATCACCCAAAGCTCCGCCCTCACCCCATTAACCCACTGTCAATCACCCAAAGCTCCGCCCTCACCCCATTAACCCACTGTCAATCACCCAAAGCCCCGCCCACACCTCATTAACCCACTGTCAATCACCCAAAGCCCCGCCCTCACCCCATTAACCCACTGTCAATCACCCAAAGCTCCGCCCTCACCCCATTAACCCACTGTCAATCACCCAAAGCTCCGCCCTCACCCCATTAACCCACTGTCAATCACCCAAAGCCCCGCCCACACCTCATTAACCCACTGTCAATCACCCAAAGCCCCGCCCTCACCCCATTAACCCACTGTCAATCACCCAAAGCCCCGCCCACACCCCATTAACCCACTGTCAATCACTCTCAAGCCCCGCCCTCACCCCACAGAGCCGCTGTCAATCACTCCCAAGCCCCGCCCTCACCCCACAGAGCCACTGTCAATTAATCCCAAGCTCCGCCCTCACCCCATTCACCCACTGTCAATCACCCAAAGCCCCGCCCACACCCCATTAACCCACTGTCAATCACCCAAAGCCCCGCCCACACCCCACAGAGCCGCTGTCAATCACCCAAAGCCCCGCCCACACCCCACAGAGCCGCTGTCAATCACCCACAGCTCCGCCAATCACATCCAAGCCCCGCCCTCTCCCTCCCGTTAGCCCCGCCCCCCAGCCCAAGCCCCGCCCACCCTCCTCTCGCCGCCTCCCTCCGTTTCCTTCTCGCGGGTCCAGCAGCGGCGCCGCGCGCCGGGGGCGGGGCTCTGCCCCGAGTCCGACATGGCGGCGGCGGCACCGGGCGGCTCCGAGAGGCCCCGGGGAGGCTCTCTGAGGGGCCCCGGAGCCTCCCGAGGAGGCCCCCGGGCGGTTTTTGGGGGCCCCGGGGAGGTTTTTGGGGGTCCCGGGGAGGTTTTTGGGGGTTTCTGGCCTTGAGGGTTCCTGAAGCGGCTTCCGGTTCTTTTCCCGCGGAGGAAAGAGGGGGCGCGGCCTAAAGGAAGGCGATGTGCGCATGCGCGGGATTTTATTGCCGGCGGGGGCGTGGCTTCGCTTAAAGGGGGCGTGGTCTATATTTAAAGGGCCAGCGCGCTTTTAATTCCAAAAGTGGGGGAGGGGCGCGTCTCGCACCACGTGACCCGCGCTGCCACCGCCCCTCCCCCCCCCCCCAATAAACGACACCGGAGCCTCGTTGTGGTTTTTATTAACGGCGAAACCATCGTTAATTAATTATTAATTAATGAGTTAATGAACCAACAGCTGGGGCGGGGGATGGGGGGAGGGGTGGTGGCACCGTCCTGGGGTGGGGGAGGGGCGGTCACAGCGCCGGTCACATGCGGGTGGGTCCCGGGGGGGGGGTCAGGCCAGCGCCAGCACTGCGGGGGAGGGGAGAGAAGCGTTACCTGGCGCACCTGAGCCTCACCTGGGAACACCTGGGCACACCTGGGCTCCCCCACAGGTGTCCTGTGACCCCCATTGTCCCTCCAGGTGTGCTCTGTGCCCTCGTGTCACCCCCCAGGTATGCCCAGGTGTGCCCAGGTGTGCCCAAGTCTCCCTCTCAGGTGTCCCAGATCCCCCCCCAGGTGTGCCCAGGTGTTCCAAATATCCCCAGGTGTGCCCCAGGTGTGCCCAGGTGTGCCTCAGGTGTGTCCCTGGTGTGCCCAGGTGTGCCAAAGTCTCCCTCTCAGGTGTGCCAGATCCCCCCCAGGTGTGCCCAGGTGTCCCAGATCCCTCCAGGTGTGCCCAGCTCCCCTCAGGTGTCCCCCCAGATACCCCCAGGTGTGCCCCAGCTCCTCCCCAGTGTGCCCAGGTGCCCCCCCAGGTGTGCCCAGGTGCCCCCAGGTGTGCCCCAGGTGTGCCCAATCTCCCTCTCAGGTGTCCCAGATCCCCCCCAGGTGTGCCCAGGTGTCCCAAATATCCCCAGGTGTACCACAGGTGTGCCCCAGGTGTGCCCAGGTGTGCCCCAGGTGTGCCCAGGTGCCCCCCCAGGTGTGCCCAGGTGTGCCCAGGTGTGCCCCTCACCTGTCAGCGCCTCCTGAGCGAAGTATTTGACGTCGACGTCCTGGTCCTGTGTCAGCTTCTCCAGCACCGGCTTCACCTCGGTCTGCAGCGTCCTGCAGGTGAGACAGGTGAGACACAGACAGGTGAGACAGGGACAGGTGAGACAGGTGAGATATGGACAGGTGAGACAGGTGAGACACAGGTGAGGAACAGGCGAGACACAGGTGAGACAGGTGAGACAGAGACAGGTGAGAGGTGAGACACAGGTGAGGGACAGGTGAGATACAGACAGGTGAGATATGGACAGGTGAGACAGGTGAGACACAGGTGAGATATGGACAGGTGAGATACGGACAGGTGAGACAGGTGTGGAACCCAAACCCACTATAACCCAGTCCTAACCAGTACACCCAGTATAAACCAGTACAAACCACTATAACCCACTAAAACCCAGTAAAACCAGTCCAAACCAGTATAAACCAGTATAAACCAGTAAGGACCAGTACCCGCTGTCCAGGATGGGCCCGATGCGCTGCAGCCCACACCAGTACACCCAGTATAAACCAGTACAAACCAGTACAAACCAGTACAAACCAGTATAACCCAGTAAAACCCAGTAAAACCAGTCCAAACCAGTCCAAACCAGTATAAACCAGTATAAACCAGTATAAACCAGTACCCGCTGTCCAGGATGGGCCCAATGCGCTGCAGCTCAAACCAGTACACCCAGTATAAACCAGTACAACCAGTATAACCAGTATAACCCACTAAAACCCACTAAAACCAGTGCAAACCAGTGCTCCCAGTATAAACCAGTACAGACCAGTATAAACCAGTAAGGACCAGTATAAACCAGTACCCGCTGTCCAGGATGGGCCTGATTTGCTGCAGCTCACACCAGTACACCCAGTATAAACCAGTACAAACCACTATAACTCACTAAAACCCAGTAAAACCAGTGTTCCCAGTCCAAACCAGTATAAACCAGTATAAACCAGTAAGGACCAGTATAAACCAGTATAAACCAGTAAGGACCAGTACCCGCTGTCCAGGATGGGCCCGATGCGCTGCAGGGACTTGGCCACGTTGAAGCGAACGTTGGCCACGGCGTCGGCGGCCATGCGCAGCACGGTGGGCAACATCTGCGTGGTGGTCACCTCCTGCCCGCACACCTCGGATAACACCTGCGCAGGTGAGATACAGGTGAGACAGGTGAGACATGGACAGGTGAGACATGGACAGGTGAGACACGGGGCCATTGGCAACATCTGCGTGGTGGTCACCTCCTGCCCGCACACCTCGGATAACACCTGGGCAGGTGAGACACAGGTGAGATACAAGTGAGACATGGACAGGTGAGATATGGACAGGTGAGATACAGGTGAGACACAGGTGAGATATGGACAGGTGAGAGATGGACAGGTGAGATACGGGGCCATGGGCAACATCTGCGTGGTGGTCACCTCCTGCCCGCACACCTCGGACAGCACCTGGGCAGGTGAGACACAGGTGAGAGACAGGTGAGACATGGACAGGTGAGATATGGACAGGTGAGACATGGACAGGTGAGACACGGGGCCATGGGCAGCATCTGTGTGGTGGTCACCTCCTGCCCGCACACCTCCGACAGCGCCTGGACAGGTGAGAGACAGGTGAGATACAGGTGAGACACAGACAGGTGAGACATGGACAGGTGAGACAGGTGAGAGATGGACAGGTGAGACATGGACAGGTGAGATATGGACAGGTGGTGGTCACCTCCTGCCCGCACACCTCCGACAGCACCTGCGCAGGTGAGATACAGGTGAGATACAGGTGAGACACAGACAGGTGAGATATGGACAGGTGAGACAGGTGAGACACGGGGCCATGGGCAACATCTGCGTGGTGGTCACCTCCTGCCCGCACACCTCGGATAACACCTGGGCAGGTGAGACACAGGTGAGAGACAGGTGAGAGACGGACAGGTGAGATATGGACAGGTGGGACAGGTGAGATATGGACAGGTGAGACAAGTCACATAGACAGGTTAGATATGGACAGGTGAGATACAGGTGAGATACAGGTGAGACACGGACAGGTGAGATACAGGTGGGACAGGTGAGACATAGACAAGGATTGGGGATGTCCATCACTCATGCCCAGGTGTGCCCAGGTGTGCCCAGGTGTGTTCCTATCCCTCCCAGGTGTGCCCAGGTGTGTTTCTGTCCCTCCCAGGTGTGCCCAGGTGTGTTTCTGTCCCTCCCAGGTGTGCCCAGGTGTGCCGTGGCTGTACCCAGCTGCATTCCTGCCCCTCCCAGGTGTGCCCCCAGGTGTGCTGTGGCTGTACCCAGGTGTGCTCCTGCCCCTCCCAGGTGCCCCCAGGTGTGCCCAGGTGTGCTGTGGTTGTACCCAGCTGCGCTCCTGCCCCTCCCAGGTGCCCCCAGGTGTGCCCAGGTGCCCCCAGGTGTGCCCCCAGGTGTACCCAGGTGTGCCCCCAGCTATACCCAGGTGCCCCCAGGTGTGCCGTGGCTGTACCCAGCTGTGTTCCTGCCCCTCCCAGGTGTACCCAGGTGCGTTCCTGCCCCTCCCAGGTGTGCCCAGGTGCCCCCAGGTGTGCCCAGGTGTGCCCAGGTGTGACGTGGCCGTACCCAGGTGTGCCCAGGTGTGTTTTTCCCCGTCCCAGGTGTGCCCAGGTGTGCCCAGGTGTGCCCAGGTGCATTCCTGCCCCTCCCAGGTGCCCCCAGGTGTGCCCAGGTACGCACGTTGATGCAGAAGAGCGTGGTCATGCGGTGCAGGTAGTTGGGGTCGGCGGCCATGGCCAGCACCTTGGGCACGATGGTGCCCTGCGCCCAGGTGTGCCCGAAGCGCTCCACCAGCTTCCGCAGGTTACTGGTGGCGGCCTCGCGGATGGCGTACACTGCGGGGACCAGCACGGACCAGTTCAGACCAGTACAGACCAGTACAGACCAGCATAGATCAATATAAACCAGCACGGACCAGTTCAGACCAGTATAGATCAATATAAACCAGCACGGACCAGTACGGACCAGTATAAACCAGTACAGACCAGTATAGACCAGTGTGGATCAATATAAACCAGTACGGACCAGTTCGCACCAGTATAAACCAGTATAGACCAGCATAGATCAATATAAACCAGCACGGACCAGTATAGACCAGTGTGGATCGATATAAACCAGTATGGACCAGTATAAACCAGTATAGACCAGTATAGACCGATATAAACCAGCACAGACCAGTATAAACCAGTATAGACCAGTATAGACCAGTGTGGATCAATATAAACCAGCACGGACCAGTATAAACCAATAAAAACCAGTACAGACCAGTGTGGATCAATATAAACCAGTACGGATGAATTCGCACCAGTATAGACCAGTATAGACCAGTGGGGATCAATATAAACCAGCACGGACCAGTTCGCACCAGTACAGACCAGTATAAACCAGTGTGGGTCAATATAAACCAGCACGGACCAGTTCGCACCAGTACAGACCAGTATAGACCAGTATAGATCGATATAAACCACTATGGTCCAGTATAAACTGGTTTGTACTGGTATTAACCAGTATAGATCAATATAAACCAGTATAAACCAGTATAGATCAATATAAACCAGTATGGACAATCCCTCCCAGTCCCTCCCAGTTCCCTCCCAGTCCCTCCCAGTCCCTCCCAGTTCCCCCCAGTTCCCCCCAGTCCCTCCCAGTCCCTCCCAGTCCCTCCCAGTCCCTCCCAGTTCATCCCAGTCCCTCCCAGTTTCCCCCAGTCCCTCCCAGTCCCTCCCAGTCCATCCCAGTCCCTCCCAGTTTCCCCCAGTCCCTCCCAGTCCCTCCCAGTTCATCCCAGTCCCTCCCAGTTTCCCCCAGTCCCTCCCAGTCCCTCCCAGTCCCTCCCAGTCCATCCCACATCAGTCCCAGTTCCCTCCCAGTCCCTCCCAGTCCCTCCCAGTCCCTCCCAGTCCCTCCCAGTCCATCCCAGTCCCCCCCAGTCCCTCCCAGTCCATCCCAGTCCCTCCCAGTTCCCTCCCAGTTCCCTCCCAGTCCCTCCCAGTGCCCTCCCAGTTCCCTCCCAGTCCCTCCCAGTCCCTCCCAGTCCCCCCCAGTGCCCTCCCAGTCCCTCCCAGTCCCTCCCAGTCCCTCCCAGTCCCTCCCAGTCCCTCCCAGTTCCCTCCCAGTCCATCCCAGTTCCCTCCCAGTCCCTCCCAGTCTCTCCCAGTCCCCCCCAGTCCCTCCCAGTACCGTGATCCACCAGCCAGGCCATGCAGAGCGAGTTCAGCTTCTCATCGAAGAACTCCACGCCCTGAGGAGGGGCAGACACCAGTAAGGACCAGTATAAACCAGTACGAACCAGAATAAACAAACCCCTCCCAGTATGTCCCAGTTCCCTCCCAGTTCCCTCCCAGTATATCCCAGTGCCCTTATACAAGCCCATAGAGGACTGTAACCCCCTCCCAGTCCATCCCAGTATATCCCAGTCCATCCCAGTCCATCCCAGTACATCCCACTCCCATCCCAGTCCATCCCAGTTCATCCCAGTCCCATCCCAGTCCCTCCCAGTCCCTCCCATTCCATCCCAGTTCCCTCCCAGTATATCCCAGTGCCTTTATACGAGCCCATACAGGACTGTAACCCCCTCCCAGTCCATCCCAGTATATCCCAGTGCCCCGTACACGGCTCCAGCTCCCTCCCAGTGCCCCCCAGTCCATCCCAGTCCCATCCCAGTATATCCCAGTGCCCCCATACCAAGCAGTAACTTCACCGCAGCGCCCCATACACGGCTCCAGCTCCCTCCCAGTATATCCCAGTATATCCCAGTGCCTCCCAGTATACCCCTGTCCCTCCTAACCTTCTCCCAGTGCCTCCCAGTGCCTCCCAGTATGTCCCAGTCCTCTCCCAGTTCCCTCCCAGTATATCCCAGTGCCCTTATACGAGCCCATACAGGACTGTAACGCCCTCCCAGTCCATCCCAGTATATCCCAGTGCCCCATACGCGGCTCCAGCTCCCTCCCAGTGCCTCCCAGTCCATCCCAGTTCATCCCAGTCCATCCCAGTTCATCCCAGTCCCATCCCAGTTCATCCCAGTGCCCCCATACCAAGCAGTAACTTCACCGCAGTGCCCCATACACGGCTCCAGCTCCCTCCCAGTATATCCCAGTATATCCCAGTCCCTCCCAGCTCCCTCCCAGTGCCTCCCAGTCCATCCCAGTGCCCCCCAGTCCCTCCCAGTCTCACCAGCTGGCCGGCCAGCAGCGGCATGTACTCGATGATGGCCAGCCGGGCACACCAGAACCCCCTCCCAGTATATCCCAGTATATCCCAGTGCCCCCCAGTCCATCCCAGTCTCACCAGCTGGCCGGCCAGCAGCGGCATGTACTCGATGATGGCCAGCCGGGCACACCAGAACCCCCTCCCAGTATATCCCAGTATATCCCAGTGCCCCATACACGGCTCCAGCTCCCTCCCAGTATATCCCAGTATACCCCAGTCCCTCGTAACCTTCTCCCAGTGACTCCCAGTACCTCCCAGTATATCCCAGTCCTCTCCCAGCTCCCTCCCAGTATATCCCAGTGCCCTTATACGAGCCCATACAGGACTGTAACCCCCTCCCAGTCCATCCCAGTCCCTCCCAGTTCATCTCAGTGCCTCCCAGCTCCCTCCCAGTGCCTCCCAGTGCCTCCCAGTCCCATCCCAGTTCATCCCAGTCCTCTCCCAGTTCCCTCCCAGTATATCCCAGTGCCTTTATACGAGTCCATACAGGACTGTAACCCCCTCCCAGTCCATCCCAGTGCCCCATACCCGGCTCCAGCTCCCTCCCAGTGACTCCCAGTTCATCCCAGTATATCCCAGTGCCTCCCAGTTCATCCCAGTCCCATCCCAGTTCATCCCAGTTCCCTCCCAGTATATCCCAGTGCCCTTATACGAGCCCATACAGGACTGTAACCCCCTCCCAGTATATCCCAGTGCCTCCCAGTGCCTCCTAACCTTCTCCCAGTCCCATCCCAGTCCCTCCCAGTGCCCCCCAGTCCCTCCCAGTCTCACCAGCTGGCCGGCCAGCAGCGGCATGTACTCGATGATGGCCAGCCGCACGCGCCACTTGGCGTCCTCGGCCAGCTCGACGATGGCGGGCAGCAGCGACTGCGAGAGCTGCCGGATGCCGATCACCTCGTTCACGCAGTCCAGGTTGGAGATGATGTTCAGCCGCACCTCGGGGCACTGGGGGCACTGGGCGTTACTGGGGGGGACTGGGAGGGACTGGGAGGGACTGGGATGGACTGGGAGTTACTGGGGGGGACTGGGATGGACTGGGAGGGACTGGGAAGGGGTTACAGTCCTGTATGGGCTCATATAACAGCACTGGGATATACTGGGAGGGAACTGGGAGAGGACTGGGACATACTGGGAGGCACTGGGAGAAGGTTAGGAGGGACTGGGAGGGACTGGGAGGGACTGGGATATACTGGGAGGGACTGGGAGGGAGCTGGAGCCGTGTATGGGGCGCTGCGGTGAAGTTACTGCTTGGTATGGGGGCACTGGGATATACTGGGATGGACTGGGATGAACTGGGAGGGACTGGGATGGACTGGGAGGGACTGGGAGGGACTGGGAGGGACTGGGAGGGACTGGGAGGCCTCACTGGGATGGGGTGCCAGTGGATGTTGGCTCCCCAGGTGTGCCCAGGTGTGCCCAGGTGTGTCAGAGGTATACCCAGGTGTGCCCAGGTGTGCCCAGGTGTGCCCAGGTGTGTCACAGGTATAGCCAGGTGTGTCACAGGTATACCCAGGTGTGCCCAGGTGTGTCAGAGGTATACCCAGGTGTGCCCAGGTGCCCCCAGGTGTGCCTCACCTCGTCCTTGAGCTGTGCCAGGAACAGGGGCAGCAGGTGCTCCCATGTGTTACCCTGTGTGCCCA